TATATATATATGCGCGCCCGGAACACGCACACACACACACACACATGCGTACACCTGGAACACATATGTGTGTATGTCTGGAAAGCACATTTCTGTTCACCTGCAACACACATATGTGTTCACCTGGAACCCATATATGCGCTCACTTGGAACAGGCATTTGTGTTCACGTGCGACACTGGTGCAGACCTGGATCACACAAGCATGTTTAACCAAAACAAACTTCTGTGTTGACTTGTAACACACATATGTGTACACATGGAACACACGTGTGTGCACATGTGGAGAAACATGTGCAACACAAATGTGCAACACACATGCGTTCACCTGGACAACAAAAATGTGTTCACATGGAAATTACATTTCCTGCACGCCTGGGCGACACATAAATCAAGTTCCCGAAGCCGGCTGTGAGGCGCTATTCCATGGGGCTCTGCCTTGAACAACGCTTGTGTTTTATATGTGTGTTCCAAGTAGGAAAATAGTGTTCGTGTACGATCAATCTAGCTTTTTTGCAACACATTGCTAGCGCGCGAGCCTGCTGCTGCTGCTACTACTGCTAGTACTATCAGTATCGGATGCGTCTCCAGCAGTTACAGGCTTCAGCTTAGCAAAAGCTTTCCGGCGCATTGCGCTTCTTTCTCGCTTAGCTGCACAGTGTCTTTCGTATCGAGTGCTAAAGTGCTTTGATCGTATTGTGGCAACTCTTCGTATCGATTCAGTAAAGCATTTGCTTTCGCAGGGAAATACGCAACCCAATTCTTCCGTATGCTCGGTACAAGGCATCCCTGCCGTATTGCCTCAGCCGTTGTTTCTCCCCTTTGTCCAGCAAATCGCACTCCATGATAATTGCATGCGAGGAGAGCGGAAGCAAATTTGGATTGAAGCGTAACTGGGAACCGGTCACAGCTGACCACTGCGCTAGCGCCTTGCTAGCGCGCGGCTAGCGCGGGTTCGCCGTATTTTTTGGAGTCACGGCGACCCTCTGTGTGGATTTGACAAATTAAGGCCACGTAAGATGAAGGTAAACGTGCGGGCTGGCTTCAAGTACTAAGTAAGAACTGCAACATTACACCCTTGAAAGCCACGCAAAGCCCATCGCGGCAACCCACGCGCCAACTCTTGGAAACCAAGATCACCGAAGACCCTAGCGCAAACCAAGCGCCATCCTAGCGCCTCCAGTGGGGAGCGGGCAATCCATTGGTATTTGCAGGACTCCGCTTTGTGTGAATGAAAAACTGCACAAAGTGACTGCGACGGTGGCCTCTGTAGACTAAACCCCCTTACTAGAAATTTTGACCGGATCGCATATGTGTTTTATCAGAACAATCGCATGCTTTCAAAAAAAAAATATATAAAAAAAAAAAGAAAGAGGGATCAAGGATCGCATGCTTTCACCTGGAACACAAACATGTGCTGACGTGGAACACACTCATGTGGTCACATGCAAAAAGTGCGTGTTCACTTGGAACGCGCCGATGTGGTCAGCTGGAACACACCAAGACCACACAATCATTTACTTGAAGCACTCGTACGTGCATCCGCAGCATGCTGCCTGTGGCTTGATCAAGCGCACGCGCGCGCTCAAACACACGTTTCTGAGCCTCAAACACACATGCGTGCCCGCGGAATACACCGCGAATGACCAGGGAGCCGTGCCAGGCATCCAGGCTGGGGGACAACAAGAAGGAGACAAAGGGAGACAAATGAACCCGTCCGCCCGGAGAGCCGTGCCAGACATCCAAGCTGGGAGACAAACGAATCCGTCCACCCAGAGAGCCGTGACAGGCATCCAGGCTGGGAGACAACCGGGGCCAAATAAAGGGAGACAAAGGGAGACAAATGAATCTGTCAGGCAAATGAAGGGAGAGGAACCCGTCCGCCGGGAGAGCCGGGACAACCCCAGGTGCCAAGAGCACCACTGGGTATCTCGGCGTAGGTTCGTTGAACATCATCAAAGAATCGATAGACGATTTAACTCCAGCGTGATTCACGTTTGTTTCACCGGGGGGTTAACAGAGCCTTCTCGTAGCTGAAGCCGTGCACCGCAGCGCACCGCTCTCGTCAGCTCGGGACTCCAAATGCGAGCAAGGACAGAGAGAGGCCGCAACTGATAACGAGGCACTGAACGAACAGACAGGGTGTAGCCAACGATAGACAAGGAAGACGACCCACCACGAGCCCAAGCAAAATCGAAGTCCAGATGAAGGGCAGACAGAGGACCCTGTCCCCAACATCCACAAGACAAGGAATGACCGAAGCCAGGGCCGAAGCCGAAGGCAAACCAGACCCCGCCAAAAGGACAGAACCGCGGGAAGTGAAGGAAACCGCGGAGCGTGAGTGCCACACATCCAGGCTGGGAGACAACGGGAGACAAATGAATCCGTCCACCCAGAGGGGCATCCAGGCTGGGAGACAACGGGAGACAAACAAAGGGAGACAAAGGGAGACAAATGAATCCGTCCACCCAGAGAGGCATCCAGGCTGGGAGACAACGGGAGACAAATAAAGGGAGACAAAGGGAGACAAATCAATCCGTCCACCCACTGAGATGGGAGACAAATGAAGGGGAACCAAGGGAGACAAGTGAATCCGTCCGCCTGGAGAGCCGTGACAGACATCCAGGCTGGGAGACAAGGGGAGCCAAATGAAGGGAGACAAAGGGAGAAAAGTGAATCTGTCCACCAAAAAAACAGTGCCAGGCATCCAGGCTGGGACACAACGGGAGACAAATGAAGGGAGACAAAGGGAGACAAGTGAATCTGTCCGCCTGGAGAGCCGTGCCAGACATCCAGGCTTGGGAGGCAACGGGAGACAAATGAAGGGAGACAAAGGGTGACGAGAGCCGCCAGGCATCCAGGCTGGGAGACAACGGGAGACAAATGAAGGGAGACAAAGGGAGACAAATGAACCCCTCCACCCCAGAGAGCCGTGACAGGCGTCCAGGCCGGGAGACAACCGGGGCCAAATAAAGGGAGACAAAGGGAGACAAATGAATCCGTCAGGCAAATGGAGGGAGAGGGAGACAAATGAACCCGTCCGCCGGGAGAGCCGGGACAACCCCAGGTGCCAAGAGCACCACTGGGTATCTCAGCGTAAGGTTCGTTGAACATCCTCGAAGAATCGATAGAGGATTTAACTCCAGCGTGATTCACGTTTGTTTCACCGGGGGGTTAACAGAGCCTTCTCGTAGCTGAAGCCGCGCACCGCAGCGCACCGCTATCGTCAGCTCGGGACCGCAACTGATAACGAGGCACTGAACGAACAGACAGGGTGTAGCCAACGATAGACAAGGAAGACGACCCACCACGAGCCCAAGCGAAATCGAAGTCCAGATGAAGGGCAGACAGAGGAGGACCCTGTCCCCAACATCCACAAGACAAGGAATGACCGAAGCCAGGGCCAAAGCCGAAGGCAAACCAGACCCCGCCAAAAGGACAGAACCGCGGGAAGTGAAGGAAACCGCGGAGCGTGAGTGCCACACATCCAGGCTGGGAGACAACGGGAGACAAATGAATCCGTCCACCCAGAGAGCCGTGCCAGGCATCCAGGCTGGGAGACAACGGGAGACAAATAAAGGGAGACAAAGGGAAACAAATGAATCCGTCCACCCACAGAGATGGGAGACAAATGAAGGGGAACCAAGGGAGACAAGTGAATCCGTCCGCCTGGAGAGCCGTGACAGACATCCAGGCTGGGAGACAACAGGAGCCAAATGAAGGGAGACAAAGGGAGAAAAGTGAATCTGTCCACCAAAAAAACAGTGCCAGGCATCCAGGCTGGGAGACAACGGGAGACAAATGAAGGGAAACAAAGGGGTGCCAGACATCCTGGGAGACAAAGGTAGACAAATGAACCCGTCCACCCAGAGAGCCGCGCCAGGCATCCAGGCTGGGAGACAACGGGAGACAAATGAAGGGAGACAAAGAAGGGAGACAAATGAACCCGTCCACCCAGAGAGCCGTGACAAGCATCCAGGCTGGGAGACAAATGAAGGGAGACAAAGGGAGACAAATGAACCCGTCCACCCAGAGAGCCGTGCCAGGCATCCAGGCTGGGAGAGAACGGGAGACAAATGAAGGGGACAAAGGGAGACACATGAACCCGTCCACCCAGAGAGCCGTGCCAGATCCAGGCTGGGAGACAACGGGCGACAAATGAAGGGAGACAAAGGGAGACAAGTGAATCTGTCCACCCAGGCATCCAGGCTGGGAGACAACGGGAGACAAATGAAGGGAGACAAAGGGAGACAAAGGAACCCGAGCCGCGCCAGGCATCCAGGCTGGGAGACAAATGAAGGGAGACAAAGGGAGACAAATGAACCCGTCCACCCAGAGAGCCGTGCCAGGCATCCAGGCTGGGAGACAACGGGAGACAATGACAAAGGGAGACAAATGAACCCGTCCACCCAGACTGGATCATCCAGGCTGGGAGACAACGGGAGACAAATGAAGGGAGACAAAGGGAGACAAGTGAACCCAGGGAGACAAACGAACGCGTCCACCCAGAGAGCCGTGCCAGGCATCCAGGCTGGGAGACAACGGGAGACAAATGAAGGGAGACACAGGGAGACAAATGAACCCGTCCACCCAGAGAGCTGTGCCAGGCATCCAGGCTAGGGCTTGGCAACAGGCGAGCCACCTTAAATGAATTTAGAACCCCTCACAGTAAACTGTTTGGGGAAAAAGACACGCACACACATATGGAAATAGATAGGGAGGGGAGTGCACCTTTAACAAGGTTCTACGAATGGACAATTGGCATAAATTGGCATACTGATTCCATAAGGGGTTGCGGGGGCTGTTGTCTGGGCAGAGGAGCAAAATGCTGAGATTAGAAACGAAAATGAGGAGACTTGCGGGGGAAATCGAATCTGCAAACTGCAAGTATGCTCCTCCCTTCACCCTAGGAGCCACAGTCAGTATTCATTGTCCCCCTACGACATGCCATTCTTAAATGGGCATTGGGTGACTGCGCTCGATGCCAATGCATACAAGGCACTGAGAGCCTGGGGCCGGTGGAACAGCAGTGCTAAGGCAGCCTGAGGCAGGCGGAGACGTGGCGAAACTCTAAGGCCCTTTGTGGGAAGCCTTGAAGGGTGGCTCCACAGCTCTCCCCCCAAAATCCATGGCAACCTCCAAATCTTTCTTGGCTGTACTTGGACGTTCAGCCCACTTGGCAAGTAGGCTATAACCATGCTGCTGTCCCATGAAAAAACCATGGCTACAACCAAAACGAGCATGCCCCACCTCTAAGCCCTCGTTGGATCTTGGCCATGGGTCCAAATCCCATACACCCAGTGAACATCCGATTCAATCCACCACTAAAACAGGTTCTAAAATGGGTGGTGAATTCACCTACCTGAAAATGGGATCCCAAAACGGTTTTGACCCACAGCCATGTACCATGGACCCTTTGGGGGTCGACTTCGGCTCGACTCGCGCCTGCCACCGGCTGCCCAGCTCGCAGCCGCGCAGCGCGCGGCGCAGCGCCGCCGGCTCTGACGCCAAGAAGCCACGTGCAGAGGCATGGCCAGTTTGTGTGTTCAGGGCATGAACAAAAAATGAGTGATTCCCCCAAACAAGAAGTCTCCGAGTTTCGTGCCTTAGTCCTTGCTTTGCATGGGCTTCTCGCAGGTTTGGTTTCTTCAGCCAGATGGGTGATCTCATCTCCGGCCATTCTCTTGCGCTCTTTGGGGGGTTTTCAGAGAGAAGATCTCACATTCCAAGAACCACATGAGAAGCTGAGAAAAATCTGTCCAAGCGGCTCTCCATCGCAACCCAAGAAACAACTCACCCACCGCTTAGAGCCTCCCCCGCGCGCGATCCCGCAAGGCCTGCCATCGCCCATGGCAAAGCTCGGGCTTTCGGGATCGAAGAAATGGGTGTGTCACTCTTGGAGGCTACCCTTAGTGACCTTTAAACTTGTTGCGATTGTGAGAGGAAAAAAACACCGCCTACTTTCCGGCGGATCCCTGTGCTGAGGCAAACCAACATGATTGCGCTTTGGTGCAAGCTGGAGCCTGTTAGGGCCCCTGACCAAGTGGCTCAGACCTCTGCAATGCCGGGTGGTCAAGCTGTAGTGAGGCCACAAATCCAGTATCCAAGCAAAATCTCGTTGGATGTAACCTCAGGGCTACAGAGAAAAGCCGTGTCCGTCGTGTGTGTTCGTTCACTGTACCAGAATCAAAACCACGCCGTGGTGCCGGGGACAAGGCCCTCATGCCTTTCGGTACAAGCCAAAGAACGGCGCATAGGTGGCCTGTTGGAAAAACTTATGGCCCTGGTAAATGTAATAAAACCCATCTGAACCCTTGCCATCTATTTTCCACCAGACCAAGCCGGAAAGAGACACCTATGACACTTTGTTTGTCGACTCCCTCAGGCTATTTAAAAGAAGGCCAAGGCTGTGGCTACTGCGAAGCTGTGCGCAAATCGTCCGGGGGCGTTGCTTTCAGAATCCCCTGGTCTTCTTGATACATGCACGCACGCCCCGGCGCCTTACATCCCGCTGCGAAACCGTACGTGGGTCTGCTCTTCTTGGGATCGGGAAGCAAAAGCGAAACCCAAGCCAACAGGTTCCCTGGAGACAGACTCGCAACCTTGCGCTCCCTTAGGCAGCAGACCACTTTTCCATACTGGACGGGACCTTTTTGGGGGATCCGAGTTGGGCGTTAATTGGTTGAAGAAGGGGATGTATGTTCGCCAATGGAGAAAGGGGGCGGCATTCACCCAGTCGAGTTTGGGAGCACCGGTCGTAGTTGCAAAAACTCAAAGATGCACCGGTTGGATATGGGTACCTATTTTGGGGGTTGCTTGTTTTGACGACATTGTGGTTGGGGATGCCTGGGTCTGGTTTTTCGAGGATAACCTTTGCAGGCTGGCAAAAAACGGAACCCCCAAAAGAAAACCAGCGTGTTGCAAGTTTCCCTCTATTTTAAACACATGGGGGTCGATCAAATGGTCCTTTACATGGGATGACCGTTGGGGAACACCACTAAAAAGATGAAAAAATAAACCACTAAATGGAAAAAGTTACCCATGGTCATTTTGGGGCCGAAGGGAAAATTGATCCACCCCCACATGCCAACCTGAGCCAACAAATTTGTCGCGGGCGCCCAGAGCAATAAACGGCTCACTCGAGCGGCTCGAGCGCCCCGTTTTGGGAACTTCAGCTCTTCACGTTGCTCTTGCGCAGGTGATGGCATCGGGGCCTGAGCCGACGTCTCAGGAAGAGAAGGCGCGTGTCGCAAGAGAGCTCGAGGGTCGCCAGAGTCTAAACAATTACTTTGCAGCGAAAAGTCTGCAGCCATAAGATTGGCAGAAGGTTCAAAGCATCTGTGCACCCCGTGGTATGAACCTCACGGTCATGGCTTTATGAAGCCGTGCACTTGGTGTCTAAAGCCGGAAAAACACACGCACAAGCACACGCACGCGCACGCGCACGCGCACGCGCACCCGCACCCGCACCCGACACCCGCACCCGCACCCGCACCCGCACCCGCACCCGCACCCGCACACGCACACGCACACGCACACGCACACGCACACGCACACGCACACGCACACGCACACGCACACGCACACGCACACGCACACGCACACGCACACGCACACGCACACGCACACGCACACGCACACGCACACACGCACACGCACACGCACACGCACACGCACACGCACACGCACACGCACACGCACACGAACACGAACACGAACACGAACACGAACACGAACACGAACACGAACACGAACACGAACACGAACACGAACACGAACAGGAACAGGAACAGGAACAGGAACAGGAACAGGAACACGAACACGAACACGAACACGAACACGAACACGAACACGAACCCGAACACGAACACGAACCCGAACACGAACACGAAAAAGGAAACGAACACGAACACGAACACGAAGACGAAGACGAAGACGATAGACGAAGACGAAGACGAACACGACGAACACGAACACGAACACGAACACGAACACGAACACGAACACGAACACGAACACGAACACGAACACGAACACGAACACGAACACGAACACGAACACGAACACGAACACGAACACGAACACGAACACGAACACGAACACGAACAACACGAACACGAACACGAACACGAACACGAACACGAACACGAACACGAACACGAACACGAACACGAACACGAACACGAACACGAACACGAACACGAACACGAACACGAACACGAACACGAACACGAACACACACACACACACACACACACACACACACACACACAGACAGAAACACGACTTTGTCCTTCTCGAACCTCAGGCCCCGAACAAAGTCTCCTTCAAGACCTCGATGTACTTGAGGACTGCCTATCGGATGTTCACGATCTCAGACCCCAACTCCTAAGCCTGGAAGGCAAACACACCCTCTCCAGAAGCTTACCAGTCGCTACTCCCAGGGTTCAATTGTTGGACTAAAGAAGACTTAAACCCAGGAGACCCGATTCCTGGGTTTAAGTTTGGAGTTGTCCAACAATGAAAACCCCAGTGTTTGTAGACATCTGCCATTTCGAGACCTCAAACAAAAGGGGTATCCTAGAAGAACGACACATCCACTGAATTTCCCCGAATCAAAAAGTGCAATTCACCTGGTGTCTTCCACTGAAACTCCAACTGTTGGAGGTTTCCTTAGAGAAACGGCTCAGAGTCCCGTCTGGGGCAACCCATTTGGTTTGAGCTCCGAACACCAAGCCAGCGCGCCTGCACATGAGCCTCCCTCGCCCCAGGCTCATAGTGTCTCAGTCCGGGCCTGGCGTCGGACGGCCCTCGGAGGGTTCATAGAGGGATGTGTCAGTTCCCCCGGATGAGGGGGGGAGGGGGGGAGCGGCGGAAGGGGGGAGGAGGGGAAAGATTTAGTTTAAGACAACTCTCGGAGCATAGGTGTCTTTTTGGGGGAAATGGATGGCGGTAGATGAGACCTGGCAAACCAGGAATCGCATCTATTCTTTGCCAAACTACCAAAAAGGACACCTATGCCTCGGAGGGCTTCGGATTTCGTCTCAAGCAAGCCGCAAAGGATCAATATTGAGGAAGAAGAAACAAAGAGAAGGCATGGAAGCAAGGAAGACAGGGAAGGCAGGAAGGGACGCAAGAGACAAAACGTCAGAAAAGGCAGCAAGCGGGCAACGACGTGAAAGACTGGCAAAACATAAAAGTAGTAACAGACATGAATCACATGAAGGACCGGAAAGGAAAGACATGGAAGACAGAAAAGTAACAGGAAAACGGGGGACATCTATTACCGTCCCGGCTGTTGAGTCTTAGAAGAGGCACGTTTCGAAATTGCCTACTCGACCACCATTTCGTGATCGTTTGGATCTCCGCCCGGCACCAGAAAGGGGCCAACGGGGTTTGTTGTCAAGCTGCTTACCGTGGAACCAAGAACCAGTTGGTTCCTCGACGTGAAAGGCACCGACAGCTCCCTCACTAGCTGCTCCATGAGGTGTTCTCAATAACCCGTTGATGTGAAAAACCCAAACAAATAGAACCACGATAAAGCTAGCTAATGTAAACTCGGATGCACAAAACTCTGGGACATCGTCAAGAGACGTCCGCAAAACCACCATCCAGCTGGCTTGGCCCAAGGGAGGTTTGGATTGGTGCTACCGTTTTCCTGCAATTCAAATCCCCGGATTGGTGGAACAGGGTAACCCTGGGGAAATCGTTGACAATCTCCCCTGCCATCCCCATCCCCTTGACTCAAGCCTTTGGCTTCACGGAGCGGAGACGAGTTTGCCTAACCCACCGCTACGGGTTCCCTCACACCCAAACCCGATCCGGGCAAACCTCTGATTGAGGAAAAAACCAAACGGCAGGGTCAAAGCTACTTGTTTCCCCCAGAGAATCATGAAAAACAACCGAGTGAGCCCCCCGGTTGAGTCTCCCACGATTTCCTTCAAGTGGACCATAGAACCTGGAGGAAGCTTCATACGCAAGAGGCCAGCGGCACCCCACCACCACCGTTTCGTCGGGCAGCTTCTCACCCGCATCCAGGTAGGTGCCTTGCATCCAAGGATGGGTCTCCAATGAGAGGTGGGGGGTGGGGGAAAAAAAACGAGGCCTGGTGCAAGAGCTAAGTCGAGCATGCATCGTCAGCAGCTTCAGCATCAGCATTCCCAGAATTACCATAAGCTTCAGAGCTCAGAGCGGTCCCTCAGCCCCTCAGCCCCTCAGCCCCTCGGGCCCCGGCAGGCACCCAAAGTGCACCCACTGCCTACCTTGACGCAAGCCGTGGAGTCAATGGCAGCTTGAATCGCATTCGATTGACAGCTTGCAGGGATTGAATCCCTGCTTCAAACTGGTGTCGGCCAAATGGGTGTTTGGGGTTGCTAAAGATTGGGGGTGACTGGTGGCTGGGATGTGGACCAAATTGGGGTTCACAAGGTGGATTGTTGGAAAATGCTCGAAAAAGAAAACCCCCTTGCTATAGCTAGTTCGACAACAAAGCACGGCAATAGTCCTTGTCTAGGATTGGTCAATGCACTTGACTGATCTTGGTCGGCACGAACAATCTGCAAACTCTATTCTTCCAAACCGCAGCGAGTCTACATGGCTTTTCGTTCGTGAGTCCCTGAATCGGTGAAATCGAAACCGGCACGAAGAATCCACCTCCGAGCCCCGGGCCGAGCATCCTGCATCCAGCAAAGCGCGGCACCTGACGAAACGGCCAAAAAGGCGGTCGGTTTTCATCACGGAAAGTTTGAGCTTCATCGCCAAGAACCTTTCCAGGTCATCTCCCAAATGGGGTGCTACAGCCAGCCTGAATAGGCTACTCGCCAAAAAGCACACCCACAAGCCCTGAACATATGATTTGCTCACTGCTGCTTAGAGGGCAAACCAAAGAAAAGGATCGTCTCATTTGGCGCGGGCAAAAATTGCTTGCTCCTCCTAGAGGACTCAGATTTTGTGGGAACATTGGTGAGTGCCCCATGTCCCTCCCCTCACACGGGGATTTCTGTCCAACACATAAAGGCCCATTGCATTTGATAGATTTCACAGCCATCGAGATAGGACCCATCGCTGCCGCACACTGCCAAACCTGCTGCAAAAAAAAGCCACACCCAAGGGATCCATCCTCGGCCCCCCTTCAGACCCGGTCTCTCCCACGAAACTCAGATTCTGAAAACTTCGGGGTCCATTCCAATCATTCGCCCAAACTTCTCACCCAAAAACCCCCACCCACCTCCTCCTCCCCAGACCCACCCAAACCCCAGCAACCAAAAAAAACAGCTGGGAATTCCGGCTCCAGGATGTTGCCATCCCCCATCCGCTGCCCGCCCTCCCCCACCAGCCGCGCGCCCACCTGCGCACTGCGCGGGGGTTTCGGGGGTGTCGGCTCTCGAATGGCGCGAGGATGCGTCTAGGCGAATTGGGCATGGGTCAAGATTAAACCACCAGGGACCGCAGATTTTAGTCAATGTTTCCATTTATCAAGGTGCCATTTTGTTACCACTTTTTTGACCCACAGCCAATTCATACCGCACGCCCTGGCTTTTGAGTCTGCCTGGATCGCCAGTTGCCATTTTTCTTTTCTTTTTTCCAAAAACCGATCGCAACAGTGACTGACAAAAAAGGCAACTTGGCTATCTAGGTGGTCCCGCAAACTTGCGTGTCAAACCTGGGGAGATCCGCCAAGAATGATAAATTACAGGGAAGACCGGCTTGGTGGCTGGATTTTACACCGATCGGCACCGATTCCAATTGCTGGTTGATCAACCAATATTCATCCCCCACTTACAAGAGACAAACCAAACAAACCTTCCCAAAGGCCGAGACATTATCCAAGGATGTGTGTTGTGGGATTGGGCGGAAGTTCGACAACTGCCTGGCCTTTGGTTTCCCAACGAACTTCGCGGGGTGTAGGAAAACTTGGAGAACCCCACCCGAGAATAGCAACCCTATGAGCAAAGTCCCTTGGCCCCAAATGGCTTACGAAGAATGGAGAAGCGCCTCACGTGAAGCTCTGAGTGAGTGCAGACGTTGTTTTTGTTGGGCACAGGAAAGCCAAATAGGCCGTCTTCGAATGAGCTTCTGTCCCATCGCGAAATGGCAATCCGAGCACGAACCCCCGCAGCTGTTGCTGCATCCTGGAAGCAAAGCTGAACTGAAGCATGGCAATCGGATCCGCAACGCTGACGGAAAATAGTGAGCACAATATGGCAGGGCATAAGTCCAAAGCTGTGTCGCAAACCTGGGTGCATGCAATGATGAAAGTTAAAGGACAACCCAATGAGACGATGCGAAAGCGAATAAAAGCTATCCTGCGAAAGTCTGGTTCACCACCCCAAAGTAAACAGAGCTAGATGCGTCCATGTGCACTTGACAAGCCAAGTGCCTCGAACATATTGTGGTCGCCAATTATCATGGGCTGGTCAGAGGTGTTGACAATCTCCACCTGCTCCTGCCCCGATAGCTGACGATGCGCCGGTTCCGATTATTTCTTGGATGACCTCAAAAG